TATATCCTTCCTAATCCCCCCTCCCATGACCCTGCTTGACCCCTTGGACTTTGACTTTTTCTTTACCCTCTATCCTGTTGATTCTTTTCCCTCCAAGTTCTCCACCTTCATCAAGACCCAGGTAGCAGAAGGCAAAGGGAAACTCATGCCTGGGCAGGACCCTGAGAAGACCATCGGTGATATGTTCCAGAACCAGGACCGAAATCAAGATGGCAAGATCACTATGGAGGAGCTCAAGCTGAAGTCAGATGAAGACCAGGAGAGAGTTCATGAAGAGCTCTGAGGGAACTAAAGGACTAGGGGGCCTGGCCTAGAATGCAAAATCCGCAGCTGGCAGTGGGACAGACCTCTGATATCAGCCCTTCTTCCTCTCTGCTGGGAAGCCTTGGGCTCATCTGCCAAGTTGTCTTAAGGTGCTAGCTGCTGCCTGGCCTTCCAGCCAACACCAGATTTAAACTCAAGGTGCAGACCTCCATTTTATTCCTTCCTTTAGCCTCCCCTTAGTTAAACTTTTTAAGAATGAGAACTACTTGGAAGCAGTTTTGGGGGGGTGGGAGGGTAATTGGTTTCTCTCCTTTGGCAAGAGTGGAGTAGGGGCAGCAGATACTTCCCTATCCCTCATATACACCTCACCAACACCAGATAAATGGGGATTTTAGGGTGTGGGCTGACCTATTTTAGATTGTCTGAACCTCTTCTTGACTTGCTTCCGTCCTTCAACTGTCTCCCCAAACTCCCTGCCTACATTTTGGGCTACCCAGGAGCAAAAGCAGAAAGCAATGAGGAGACTCCTTCTAGTCCTCTAGGAAACCGACCTGGTCTGCCCTTCCACTGAAAAAAGAGAGGTGCTGGGGGAGGGGGCAGTTCCAGGAAAGCTATCCTACCTCACCTACTTCTGCACCATCCCCTCAGCCTGGAGCTCAGAGGAGCTAAGATGGCCCCATATCTGCTCATGCTGCAGGACAGGGTTGGGTTCCATGTGGATTTGGTTCTGCTACCTTTGTGTGTCTTACTCCCAAGGCCTTGGAATGTGGCTTTTTTTTTAAATGAGAAAGGGGGAAAGAAGAATAAAAGAATGAAAAGGGTAAGAGGGCAGAGCAAGAGAAACTATTTAGATGAGTGTCGTAACTGTAAAAAAATTGTTCTTGAGAAATCTGAAATATAGGGTCATCTGGGGTGGGGGATGTAGAGGGTGAAATCAAAAGCCAGTTGTATTTTTTCTTTACATCAAATAAAAATTTAAACCCAAGGCCGCTGGACATGGTGATTCAGAGGAAATATGGGCCAGGGGTAGAGGATACAAGGAAATGAAAGCTTTCCCTCCATTCCCATTCTATCCAAGACAGTGTGTTTCATCCTCCCCCTTCCCATTCTGGGGAACTTCCTGCTTCTCCCAGGACTGGCTACATTTCGCATAGCCAAGTGTTCTTGAAGTTCAGAGCCAGAGTCCAGAACTGAGATTTCATAAGTAAAGGGAGTTAAGAAGGTCCAAGGGAAACAGTCATTTTATCTATCAAGAGATAGCTACCTAGATCAATCTATCTATAAATAGGTATCTATTGATCTATCTATTCAGCAACGAAAGAGATGGTTTCTGCCTTTAGGAAGCTCCCAAATTAATGGGGGAAGAAGACCCAGTTTCCATCCTCAAAGATTTAAGTGAACTCTGGGTCACCAAATCCTATCTTACACTAGGATGTATCTTCATTCCCCTGACTGAAGAAAAGAGGTAAATTTGGATCTAAGCCATTATTCTGGGGCAGAACCAGCTGATCTTAGAACAGTGATATTTCCTTTCATTGACCCAGGAGGGCTCCCTAGCTCTGGAAAATCCTAACAGGTTTTTGAGAATTGGGGGCAGGGGGACAGCTAGGTGGCTCAGTGAATAGAGCACTGGCTCTGGAGTCAGGAAGACCCGAGCTCAAATGTGGCCTCAGATGCTTACTGTGTGACTCTGAGCAAGTCACTTAACCCCAATTGCATTTAAAAAAAAAAAAAGAATTGGGGGAAGAGGTGCTAGCAAGTATTTGCTTTCATTAAGCTTCCACCCTATAATTAACCCATTCACAAAAGGTCTCATCAGAGAAATGTCTTCCTGACAATACGAAGTGAATGTTTCTTGGTATCTGAGTGCCACATCTTCGGGGTGGTGGGCCCAGCTAGTGGGTCATATACTGTTTTTCATCTGACAGGATACTGGGCCATCTTGAGGTTTATAAAACAGATGAATAATTTATTAGCACCTACGTTCCAGACACTGGGGACATACATACAAAATAATGTCTGCCTTCAGAGAGTTTACATTCTAATGGGGAATAGAACACATATTGGGAGGATGATGGCCAGGGAAGGAAGTTTTGATCCAGAGAATCACAGGGATGATGAGCAAAGCCATAAGTGACATTTGTCACTATTTCTAGAAGCAGTGGTGATGCTGATATGATTACTGTTCCTAAGCAAGAGAAAGCAAGCTGGGAGAAGGAGGAAGGTCACTTAGCAAGGCAGATATCTAGAAGCCAGGGGTGGGCAGGTAGATGGATGAATGGCATGTAAAACATGGTCAGGGGCCAGCTAGATATGGTAATTTGGGCAAGTTTGCAATCAGAACAGCTCAACCCTGGGCTGGATAGAGAGACGCAGCTGTAGACAACCTTACAAATAAATAAATGGCCAGTCCCTTGCATCAGCAGAGAATTAAGGAGGAATGGATTTCTTTAGGAGAAGGTGAGTCCTTATAATTTTATTATCTTTCTTTGTCAGGCTGCCCTATGACTGAAAATAGCCAACTCATGAATATCCAAGATGCTGGGGTAGGGGGAGGAGCAGAAGGAAGAAAAGGTTAGGGAACAGAAGGTTAGGATTAGAAAAGGAGGAAAAGATAACACAAAACAGAATCCAAAAATCATTTATTTGACATTAAAATACAGACAGAGTCACTGCTTCCTAGCTCCTCATTTAACTGCTCCCTCCCTCTTTTCCCCCCAGTGTCTGGTCCTGTCAGTGGCTAAGACTATCTAAAGAGGAAAGGCAGGGAGAGGAGGCCCCAAGGTTACTTAAGGAAATCTATGAAGCAGAAAATCCCCATTCTTTGATAAACCAAGTAGGCTACAGGTACAGCTGTATAACCCTCTTGGATTTCAAGTCCAACATTCAGTTTTAGAATGTAATAGAATCATAGAATTTTGGAACTATGAAGAATCACCTATTCTAAACCTTTCATTTTAAAAAGGACAATGAGACCTAGGAAAGTTAAGTGACTTGTCTGCGGTCACAGAGCTAACTGGGGGAAGGGCAGGGACTCACACTCAGGTCTCCAGACATCCAGTCACTGAGTTCTAATACCCACACCTCCCAATGTCAGTGAATTAATTGCCAGTGAGGACACAAGCCCTCGGCATTTTTTCAATGAAGGTGTTTACACTGTGTGGGTGTTTTTTTGGGGGGCAAGGGGCATGGGTAGGCAGATGGGGAAGGCAAGTTGATGAAAGAGTGGTATCCAATTCAGTTTGTCACCACTTCTCTCCTCTGTCATCTGAGCTGCTATACTGCTTTCTCAGCCAGGTGAACATGTTGACTATAGATTTCTTTTTAACAAGTCAGGGCTGCAATGGACAGCCAGTTACCGAAAGCTCTTGGTAAAAACAGTAACAGGCCATGGGAGAGGAGGAAGGACCTGGGATCGAGCGGCTCTTGGGAGCCAAGACTTTTTATGTACACAAGGGATGAGACGTTTTTGAAGAACCAGCTGGAGCAGACAGCATTTGAGGGTCTTCAACTGCATTCAGGACTCTTGCATTCCCACTTGGTCCTGCTCACACAAGATGTGGGTTAGGATCCCATTGACCACATCCAGGGTCTCATCCTTCTCCAACACAATGTCATAGGAATCCATATATTGCTCTCTCTGTTCCTCTACCTAAGGAGGACGACAGGAAGGAGATGAATTAAGGTTTCCCCAGGCCTCCTGCCCATCTTTTCTCCCACTTCCTTCCTTTCTAAGGGCCAGAGCATTGGCTCAAATACCAACAACCTGCCCAGTACATCAACTCCTACCCAAAAGCCCAAAGAATAAGGCTGGGGGTTCCAAGTTACAGGAACCCAATCCTTTGGGGAAAAGGCAGCAGCAGCTGAAATCCTAATTACATCCATCTTTAGCCAAGTCCATTTTACCTGAATGGGGTTTTCGTAGAATCTTAAAAGGTTGGAAGGACCTGGAGAGGTCACCTACTCCAGTTCCCCTCCCAACTTGGCAATCCCTTCCACAACAGACTTAACATATGATCAATCATCCTTTTACTTAAATATGGCCAGTGATGGGGAGCTCACTACTTTTTGAGGAGGCCTATTCCATTGTTGGACAGCTCTTACTGGCTGAAAGTTCCTCCACAAACTGAACCAAAATATTCTTCCTTGCAATTTCCATCCAATGACCCCAGTTCTGCCATCTGAAGCAACATAGAACAAGTGTTTCAAATACCTGAAGACAGTCATTATCTGGGCAGCTGCTGTCTGACACAAATCTAGAGAGCATTTTCTCAAACCCCAAATCATTCAATAACACTGAATCCTAGTGTATGTTGAGGAAGTAGGTAAGTGGCCAAATGTTGCATAGGGTTGTTCTAACGTTTCATTTTTTTTCTTTAACAGACTTTAATATAGAAAATTCTGAAGAAAAATCTAAGACAAGTGTCTTCATGGGGCTCTGGGTCCGTTGGCAGAGACTTGGCACCCTTTTCAGTGGTAGGATATAATGACTGACACGTGTCTAGTTTATGGTTTAGGACCACCAGATTTTTTTCAGCCTCACTTATCTCCAGTATTTTCTTGTTCTTTGATACTGCTGGTTACAAACCTGACCTGGTTCCTGAGATCTCGATACCAACTACCTTACAGTAGTTCACATCTACATAACACTTTGCAACTTACATTCTGCTTTCTTCACAACAATCCTGTGAGATACGTAATTTTACAAATATGTGGGATAGAAGTAGAGAAGAAGTGACTTACATAGTCTTCTTGGCACCTACCTTGTCATTCAGGAAGCCAATCTTAAGGATGTTTCCCACACTGGACACCCCATCAGCCATAGTCAGGTCGCCCATGGAGTCACCCAGTAGGAGAATGTTGGTCTTAACCTGGAGCTGTTGGAAGTACTTTGAGTCCTCCAGGACTGAACTGTTCTTGTTATACGTATGGATGAGATTACCCTTGAAACCCTGCAGGTAGCCCTGAGCAACCAAGGGAAGAGGCAGACTAACTATGAATTCAAATATAGACATTTCTCAATTTTTCATGATTATGGAAGGAAATTTTAAAAAACACATTCAAAAGACTTATAACTGGTTACTGATTTTAATACCCTTACTACCAACCTTGATAAAGCCAAGGGTTAATAGAGCCAAAGTTAATGGTGAGCCTCATTCTATTCCATTAGTCACAGTTTACGCACCTAACCCTAGCTGGCCATCTTGAAGAAGTATGCCACCCCTCTTTACTGGGAGGAGGCAAGCAAAGTAATCTCATTATATTTATTATGGTAATCTCAAATGTTCAATGCAACCAACTCCCACAAATGGAAAAATAACTCAAAGAGAATGGATGAGTATATATGACAATACTGGTAAGGAAGTTGAGCAACATAAAGGGAAGAAGATCCACAATAAAAAGAAACAAAAACCCAAACCCAAAACCCTTGGGTTCTGGAAAATGGGCAGAATCATTAGCAATTTGAAATTATGTCCCCTTGAACAACACTTGGACATATATGTACATGTGACTTGAGTTTTGACTTCTCTGGCACTGACAGCATTTTTCAAAGAGTAACACTAATTTGTCAAAATAATAAAATGCCTGGAAAGGAAAAAAATGAACACCATGAAAAGTGAAGATTACATATATATGGCTCCATCATGTAACCCCTTTCTTTAGAAATGGTTTGGTCATGTTCTAGGGTTTTTTCTAATATTCTAAAAGAGCATACCAATTCTCACTAAGCTACAGAATATAGAGTATTTTTTTAAGCAAAGAAGCTTCAACCAACTAATTTTTTAAATAAAAATTTCCTATTTGAACAAAAAAGGAAAAGAAAATAACTCAAAATGCACATGCTACGGGTAGCATCGTTGCTGTTTAAAAGCATATCGCTTAATCCAGAATATGAACAAGTAACAAAATGGACTAAAACTTGTCTTCCTCTTCTGAGGCCCCCCGAAATCCTCTGGTGAAACTGCCAAACAGAATTCAGGAGCATGGGTAATCGGCAGACTGGTTAGCTGAGACAGAGTTGGGGTTGATCAAGGACTACAGTTAGGGGGCCTCTAAATCAACCTGTCTTTGGGGGAGATTTTAACTCCTGTAGGGAGTCAAGGTGAAGCAGCATGCTTTCCTCCCCTCCCTCCACAAAGAACTCTATCCATTTCCCCACTGAACAAAAATGTAGTAACTAAAGTATAGATGCTCCCCACTCCCATAGCGTAACAAACACAACTCACACTTTCATCAAATTCCATGTAATTGGACACAACATGAATGTTGGGGTGGAAAACATTCATCTGCCTGATAATCTCTTCCAAAATGTCTCCAATACCAGCAGAAAAGATGAGAAGAGGAATATTGCTTTGGTAGAGTGTGTTGAAAAACGTCTCAAACCCCTCCCTGTAAAGGGACAAATTATTCTTCCAAAGTGATCACAAGACACAAATTCATAACTACTGGATGCAGGTAGACTCATCTTTGACCAAAACACCCAAATGATTACTTTGTTACTCTATGTCTCCTCAACACTTCTTTCAAGTTTGTTTCCAAAGAAGCATCTTAAGCGTCTTTCAAGTACGTGCCCTGTATCCTCAATGAGACTACACATTCTTTTTTTTTAAAGATTGTTTTTATTTTGTTTCTCAATTACACATGAAATAATTTTTAACATTAAATTTCTATAATTATTCATAATTTTCCAAATTTCCTCCCTAACTCCCTTCCCTCCTCCCTCTTTGAGAAGACAAGCACTTTGATATAGATTATACACACGCAGGAGCAGCTAAGTGGTACAAGCATATAGAGAATTGGAGTCAGGAAGACCCATCTTTGTGAGTTCACATCTGGTCTCAGACACTTACAGCTGTGTGAGAACCTAGGCAAGTCACTTAACCCTGTCTGTCTCAGTTTCCTCATGTCAAATGAGCTGAAGAAGGAAATGGCAAACCACTCCAGTATCTATGCCAAGAAAACCCCCAAATGGGGTCACAGAGAGTTGGACACTACTGAAAAGGACTGAACAACAACATACATGTGCAAAGACTATGCATTCTTTGAGGGCATGGCCCACGTTCACTTCTTCTATATACCAGAAGTGATCACAGAGGTGACAGGGGTATCTGACAAGCCAATACCAATTCTCAACAGTTGGATACATGGTTATGATCTCAATGACATACAGAAGCTAAAAAGGGTAGCTTAAAATATCTTCCAAAAAACTAACAGAGGATTTGGGATGTTTGATACGGGATGGGCAGAGAAAGCCAGTTAGAATTTGCACTATATATACAATCGGCTAATAATTTCTTAGAAAGTACCTACAAGCATTTTCTCTGGTTGGCCCCCATGCCTGGAATGCTTTCCCTTCTTGTCTTTGCCTCCTACCTTCTTCCAAGTCCCAACTAAAATCCTACCGTTGACAGGAAGCCTTTCCTAATCCCTATTAATTCTAACGCCTTCCATTAATTATCTCCTATTTATCCTATGCATCGTTTGTTTGTACATATTTGTTTGCTGGTTATTAGACTGTGAGCTCCTTGAGGGCAGGGACTGTCTTTTGCTAAAGTGACTTGCCCAGGGTCATATAGCTAATAAGTGTCTGAGGCCAGATTTGAATTTAGGTCTTCTTGACTCCAGACCATTGTTCTATCCCCAGTGTCTAGTAGGCCCTTAATCAGTGCTTACCTATTTACTGATACATAGCCATTTTACATATAAGGAAACAGCTTCAGAAAGGATAAGTGATTTAGTAACAGTAAATGGTAATGAAAAATTAGTAAGCAGTAAAGCTAATATCTGAACTCAGGGCTTTTGACTCTACAGCATTCTATACCTCCAGAATAACATCACATATTTTCAACATTAATTCTACATATTGTTATATCCCTCTTGACTCCAAACTCTTAATTTTCAACAATATTAAAAGCCACCCTTCCACCTCATTCCCCGTTACCTATTGACCAAACTGATCTCACAACAGGCAGCAAGTGGCAAAAATGCTCCCTCCAGGATAAGAAATTAACATACCTGAGCATTGCATCTGAATCTCTAACAATCTGGGCTATCTGGTACTTCTGAATCTTCTGTTGACACAGGAGATTGTGGGCTTTAGTCCACCTAGAAACAGATATCCCACCCAAGACACCAACATCTTCAAATCACTGAAGCAGATGGAGATCTTTCTCCTGATTCATTACACAGCTGCCTCCAGTGGACATCCTACACTTTTGCAAAGTGCCTCTTTCTTCCAGGCTCTGGTTATCCCTCAAAACTAAGAAAGTAAGGAAGAAAACAGCAACACTAAAACTAGGTTGAAAACCAGCTTCAGTATTCTCTCCCATAGAAACTGTATGTACTGCTACTATGTCTTCAAGAGCAATGGAATTTGGGGCAATTATAGTTTAATTGTCATTCTATCAGCAGTCCATGAGGAGACAAATTTTAATTACCTTGCTACAGAGACTATGATTGCAGAAAAAAAGCATAGAGAGAAAAGGACTACAAGAACTTACTTACTGAGAGAACTGAGTTTAACCTTTATTTTGTGAAGAATAATGAAGATACTTCTTGAGAAAGATTTTAATTAGTATGAGAAAACTGAATAGTAGGACTATATTTCCAGAATTGAGAAGTCAGTAGTTATTTATATTGTTAAAGAGAAGTTTAGCCATGATCAATCTCATAGCTCATATGATGTAAATAACTATTGCTTTTGTTTAACTGTTTTATTGTTTATTGTTACACTGTTAATAAATAAAGCCAGTAACCTAAATGTTTATTTAAGCCTAGAAGATTAAGGAGTTTGATATAGAGAAAAAAATGAGCAAACATTTATGGGAAGAGAGGTTTCTTATTAAATAAATATTACTTATTTAAGATTAGAGCAATTTTAGTAATGTAGAAATACCAAAGTGAATGTTGAAAACTAAAAAAAAAAATAAATAATAAAAAATAAATAAATACCAATATATGACTTACTACCTGGAAGCCAAACTGAGAAAGAATAAGGAAAAACCTAGTAACAGATCAAGAGGTAATCACATTACCCAGTCTATGTGTAAGAATGGAATTGACCCTAAAACCTCTGCTACATGTGCAGACTTGTATCTGGGATTTTCAAATTTTTTTTCTTTCCCATATGTCTTTTCTCTCATTATAAGCTGACTATAATTTAAAAATCACAAATACAAAGTACCCAGTAGTGCTGCTGATAATGACTTTCATTTACCTGATTTATTTGCTACATATTTGTTGTTAAATAACTATTTCATTGCTTTTTACAATTTATGTTGCATGCTTAATGATTAGCTTAGCATTACTGGTTTACTAAAGGTGAGATTTTAGCAGATTTGAAGGAAGCCCAAAGCATCCTCTTATGGATGGGATAAAGAAGAATGGCAAAAGAATCACACTGATACCAAAGTTTACAGAAAATCTGATGGAAAATGAAACTGGAGACAACATCATCTTAATTGCGAAGACAAGATTGCAAAATCACCATTAGCACCTTATCAAATGAAGAAATGAAATCATTTTCTATAACTGAGGCACAGATACATGACTGATAAATGTACTCAGAAGAGGAATGAAGAATAGAGTGCAAGAAGCTGAATTCCAAAGAATTGGGACTGGTAAATGAAGATGGAGCCAGAGATGAAGACTGTTCTGGAGTCCCCCAAAACAGTTAAGAATGACCTTATCAGGAGCAGCTAGATGGCGCAGTGGATAGAACACCAGCCCTGGATTCAGGAGGACCTGAGTTCAAATCCGGCCTC